TATTAAAAATATAAAAATCTATATGTTAAATTTATAAAAATAAAGTTTAATTTATTTATGATATAAATTTTTTATAGTATAGTTAAGTTCAGTTCAATGATACAAAATATTTCAATTCAATGATACAAAAAAATATTTCAGTTCAGTTTGTCTGAACTAATATTTAGTTTAGTTCAGTTCATGAGAACTACTTTTAAGTTCAGTATAATTTTTATAAGTTCAGTTCATTTTGCTCACCTCTACTTATAAGGGGTAACCAAATTACCTTACAAATTCTTAAGTAAAACAAAACATAAGTCCTTACATAAAAAATACAAATATGAGGAAGGGGAAGCATGCAAGGGACTAGATACACCTAGAAGTGTAAGTCCGTTACAAGAAAATTGACATATAGTAATACACACCCTATAGTGACATTATACATGTCACTAAAAATTACTTTTACCCACACAATAACTACAATATATGTTGGTATATTATTAAAAAGTGTGTTATAGATTATAGTGACACACAAAATATATTGTTAAATCTCATTTAAAATCAATACTAAAATTGTGTGTAACTTTGTCCGAAACTTTTACAATTACAAATTAAAATAATTTGAGATGTATGATAACATTGTTCTTACGAATTGATCTATATCACAAACAAACATCTTCTTTTTTATGTGAAACATATATAGTTACGAATTAAAATAATTTGAGATGTGTGATAACATCCTTCTTAAGAATTTCTCTTCATAATGCACCAGGTCCTATGAGAATAACTCAAAATTTTTGTTATAACAAGTATTAATTGAAGAATTCAAGAAACTCTTTTGAAATATTGTATATATAAGAAAAGAAAATATGTTTGTCAAAATTATCATAAACCAAGTCTACTGATCAAGAATATAAAATAATACTAATTATTAGATTAAGTCAAATGGATAAGATAAAACTTAGTTTGAATCACCAAGTCAACAAAATTAAATTTAATTAAAATATATTTTTTTTAAAAATAAATTAATTAATTTATAATAATTTCTAAACCTTAATTAAATATGTTAATTTTTTTTTGAAATATTACTAAAAATATAAAAAAAAAATTTATATTTCATTTTCATGACGTGATAGGTTGTCAAAATCGTTAGACATTATAAACTCACATTTATGGGGACAATCTATGTAGTTGGGTGTGCTGAAACATGTTGGACTAGCGAAAATTAAAGTTTCATGAAAAAAAAATTAGTCTTTTACTCAATGCATGAACCGAAAAAAATCGGTGGTAAGTAAAAAAAAAAGAGTTCTATTTTCATTCTATTTTATGATTATTTTTCTTTTCATTTCTTTGGCATCACTTATAACATCTTTTCTTCTCTATATACTTTACTTTTTTATTTCCCTTCTTTTTATAAAATCATATAGTTTTTATTTCTTCGTATCTACTAGATTAAATTAAACACTTAAAAATGATTATTTCAACAAAACATTTTTTGTTGGTGAAGCTTGGGTTAAAGGAGAGTGAGAGTAGCGTACTTGTTTCGGCGAGAAAATCGAGGTTAGGAGCATTATAATGAGCTGACGCCACGACCACTTCCACTTGGTGCCGTGGGTGCGGAGTTGGATTGCTGACGATTGTCATTTCCCTGTCAAAAACAAAGATTCCAATGCTGTACAAATTTTGCCTATTTTTTAAAAATAATTAAATTTGTAAAAGAAAAACACAATTAAGCAATTCTTATGCATATATATGCCAATTTTATTATGATGTTAAATTTCTTAATTTTAATAAAATAATTAGTTAGTTGAAAATATAAAATTTTTTACGTAGTCAATAAAAATCATCAAGTTTGTACTATAATTCATTTGAACAAGAGAGACCAAATATATGGATAGATTTCAAGAGATGATGATAACAACACTAGAAGGAAATAAAAAATGATAGAAACATATGAAACAAGATGGATAGCGACAAAAGTAAATAAAAAAAATATTGTGCAATGATAGATGAGTGAAAGAGAATTATAGCTACACTAGTATTACTAAGAAGAAAATAAACCCAAGAAATTTAATCATGTTCTTTTCAATGATAGAGACTACAATATATGTAAAATAATCATTATAATGTATCCCTACAAGTGTAGGATTAAAGTTTATTGAAAGCTAAATGAAATAGAAAATAAAACCAAAACCCTTATTACTAGGCATAGTCTCTCATCCAACCTGGTTTGAATATAATACGTTTAGACCTATTTATATTTGGACTAGTTGGTTCTCTGTCATCTAACATATTGCATAACTTTACAATGTGCATTACGTAATTAAGTTTGGAAATCAACACTGCATGCACTAAAATAAAAAAAGGTTCATGATTGAGCATTCAACAATTATATAATTTTATAACTTTGAAACCAAAAATACTTAACCTGTCAAGCTCGTCCCACATTTGCTTGGATGTTGTGTATTTGGAAATTTTTTCGAAAGTATCTTGATTTATGGCACAATATAAAATATTTCTTGCTTTTGCTTCTAGTTCCAAGTTCTTCATGTCTTCTTCATCGTATTCATCTTCACTTTTCTTTACTTCTTCATTGTTCACTATTTTTGTTGGAATTTTCGGTCCATTTTTTATGACAAACCAAAGTTTAAAGTCGACAGATTGTATGAATACTCGCATACGCTCTTTCAAAGATGTCGAAAAATTTGACAGCAATTTCTGACGGATTTTTCCGTCGGATATTTTGACAGCAATTTCTGACGAATTTTTCCGTCAGAAATTTCCGATAGAATTTTTCGACAGAATTTTTTGTCGGAAAATTCCGTCGAAAAAATTATTTCTGACGGATTTTTTTTTCCGACGCCACTTTTTCCGACGGATTGAAATCCATCGGAAATCCGTCAAAAAAAGCAAAATCCATTTCCCTATTTCCGTCAGAAATTTCCATCGGAAATCAGCATTTTTCTTGTAGTGATGAGAAATCATGTAAAGGAAATCAAATTTTATAAACTATATCTTTAAGTTATATATATATATATAGTTTATAAATAAATCATTAGTATTTATCTATTTATTTTTAAATATATTAACTAAATTTAAGAGTCAAAATTTTGTAATAAAAATTTAATATATTGTAATTATATAAAATATTTTAGTTATTATATATATATATATATATATATATAATGACTAAAAATTTAGATTACTATCTTAAGAAGAGAAAAAATTTGAGAATATTACATTAAGCATTCTCAACATAGCTATTTTCAACATACACTACATACAACTCCACTACCATTCTACTTTCATTCATAGTCAACATACAATTTTAATCAACTTAAACATCATTATTCATCATCCCAAATCAATGCATAAAGAATCATATATCAACATAATTCATGTGAGTACTTCAACCTATTCAACACATGCTTAACACTGAGTTAGATAACAATTAAGTTTTCATTTGGTATCCCACATTCAACGCCATTCTCCCAGCACCTGACGTTATCAAGGTAGAAAGCCTCTGATTCACCCATGCTCGACATCATTCCCCTTACATCTAATGTGGATTAGGCTGAAAATCCTTGGGGCAATCATGCCTAGTGTAGTTAGGCCTATGCCATACCTTATTTAGGTAGAGAGCCTCTACCTGACTTACACCGGACACTATTTAACCTGCACCCGACATCATCTAGGTAGAAAGCTACTACCATTTCATTCTATCAAATAGTATTTATTATATATATTAAATATATATTAATTATTTTTTAGTTGAAGAGGATTTAAAAGGTATCGGTGTATTTTTTACCAACTATTACACTAAATAATTTTATATTAAATGTGAATTTTTCAAAATTTATCATTTGATCGAAAGTTTCTCACTTTAAGATCATATATACACAAAAGATTATATTAATCAAAAATAATTTGATGTCTCATTCTTATAGATAAATATTGACGTAATATATTTATTTTAAAATATATAAAAATATGAATATTTTGATTACTTTTAAATTATAAATTTTACAACACACCTCATTCTTATTGATCAAAATTGACGTCATATATTTATTTCAAAATATGTAAAATATTGTGTTGCATCACGCACATCTTTTTCATGTATATCTCTTATAATATTCTTTTAAAAGTGTTTATTGTGTTATATTGTTTATACCAAAAAAGATGAATCACAAAGTTAACTTTGTTAAAATATTATTTTTTTAATCTATTTATTAATTTTTATTGACATGTGTAAAATAACTTAAGATAACATTTATTATAGATAAGAAAGAGTATTAACTTTTTACTTCCATTTTTCTTCAACTATTGACTTTTGCGTTTTTGATGGACATGTTGTATGTGATTATTTTTATTTTTTAAATTGTTTTGCTCATTCTCTCTAAAATATTTTATCGTTTTTAATTATTTTGCCTCATTTAATTATATTCTCTCTAAAATACTCATTATTTAATGCATAACTTTTCAATTGTACTACTTTATTTTTTATATTTTTAACAAGAATAATTTTTAAAAAAATATTATAAAATTACTAAAATTTAATGAAGAGAACTAAATTTGTTAATATATGTGAATTTCTTTTTCATTATATATATAATAGAGAACCGCACATTGTAAATAGATAAAGAACATGAAGCAATGTACAGTAAAACGTTATCCTTTTCCTTTTAATTTTTATACGAGATCTTCATTTATTTAAACGTGCCCCTTTCGAAAAAGTGTATATATTGCTGTAATTACTATATGATAAAAAAATTAAAAAAAAAAAAAAAACTTCATCCAACATAAGTACCGTTAAAATAATATTATATCAAACAACTGAATTTTTAAAAATAAAGAATTAACTTGGGTATTCCTATATTTTAACTTATATCTTGTATCAGTAAAATAATCATTTTTGCAAATATATTTTCACATTTCACACATAAAATTAAAATATCCATCCAATACAAGTTCTTGCTATTTTATTACAAACTTTAATTTAAACAATACACGATACTTCATCATTCATATAGATAGCCTCCTTTTCTCTCCACGTACAACATATTTTTACCTGGCTTAAAGAGATCTCTACAATAGTAGTAAGTTGAGTAGATGAGATCAGAGCATAGTGAAAATTGCAGAACTATAAACAGAAGTATTGGAAGACATGCAAGAACTGAAATTTGATCAGGAACCACCCTTGAACCGTCATTGTACGTTATGAAGAAGGAACTACTAAAAGCTATCATCATGCATGTTATGGAGATGAAAAGAGTCACCAATCCAGATATTAGCTTAAAGGGCAGTGACTTGTGAAAGTCATACTCGGCATAACGTGAGATGAGAATAGACAAGAATATTAGTATTGCAGTTGCAGATGAGATGAGTGAAGTTGCATCTGATACAGAAAATACTAGGAATGATGTTTTGTTCAAGTAGTTTGGTTTTTTTGTTTCATCATTTATGCCGCCCGGAATGCTAATAGCTGCAGAGAACACTCCTGTGGCAATAACTGTTGAAATAAGCATGCAATACTCAGCAGTGCGTTTCATCCAATCTTCTGCATTTTTGCGCAAATTTTCGTGCTCCCTTGTGAATAATTCTTGAGCAGTTAATCCTTCGGAGTTTTTCGTCCATATCAATGATGGTGGCATTATCTTCTTCACCTCCTATCATATAAAATGTTACATAAGTTATATATCGAAATCGAGTTAAGTATAAACAGCTTAATTTATTGAAACGTATGAACCTTAGAAGATAAATATGAATAATTTCGGTTTTCAAATACACACTTATTGGATGTCCACTTTTAGTATTGTGTAGTTTGATTTAGTCCCACATTGAATAATCTTAAGGGATATTTGCCTTCTATGTTACTATATAAGTAACACCTTGTAATGCTTTTCAATACACTAAGAAATAAAACTCCCTAGTATAATCGTGGACATAATTGTGTGTTAAATCATGTTAATTCTTACATCACCTTTTTTTTCTTTTTTCAATTTCTTATCAGTCGTTTTGTTCTTAACAATTGGTATCAAAGCTTATATCTTAATATGTTTTGTGGTTGTAGCTTTGTCTGACCTTCCACATCAAAAAAGATTTGGTTTTTTCATAGGAGTCTCAATTTAGAGAAAGGAGTGGGAGCTTTCTTAGTTTAGAGAAAGCAACAAGAGTGATGGCGTTGGAAGAAAAGAAGATGAAGATTGAAAAGTTTGGTGGTAGACACTCAGATTCTGGAAGATGAAGATTGAAAAGTTTAGTGGTAGACACTCAGATTCTGGAAGATGCAGATGGAGGATTATCTAGTGTAAATAATTAAAGTGTTTGCATGGGTTAAAAAACACAACTCTTTTACATATACATGCAAAATAAGAAATGCAAAATAAGAAATCAACACGAAAACACAAAATATATATATACAGAGAGAGAGGAAACACAAATAAGAAGAACTATATATCATAGAAGTTATTATATGTATAATTCAATGAAGATGACATGTTGCGGATGAATCTCCATATAACACGTAAAAATATTCTTTCAATTAACCCAAAAAAAAATGAGTGTTAAGATTTGTTTGGATAAATTTTTATAAAATATTTTTAAGAGAGAAAAGTTTTAAAGAAAAATAAAATAAATCTTTTTATAAATTAATTTATAGAAATTATCTCATAAGCTTCTTCAAAATTTTATTTATAACTTATAAATCAATTAATTTTACTTTATTAAAAAAATTATATTAATTTTATTCCTATCTTTTTTCTATACGTATTTGTAGATAAATTTGTCTTAATAAATCCTTTATATGTCACATTAATTAATTTGTTGTCAAGATTATATGGTTCAGATTTTTTTAATAATATATGAGTACATAATATATGGAATAGTATATGTACGTATTCTTAAACTCAAATCTTGTTATCATTAATGTAATTTTGGATAAAAAAGAATATGAGTACATAATAAAGTCGATTATCACATTAGGGTTCATGTGTTGGTACTATGGAGCTATATACAAAACACAATTGATGCGTGAAATGCAAAGCTATAAAATTAATGGATTGTACCTCAAACCACGATATCTCAAGGCTCATTTGGAAAGCTGCTCCTGAAACTAATTCAAGTTGACTAGGTGGTGCTAATTTTGCAGCCAAATGCAATAAAGTGTTCTTGTCGTGTTCTCCTTCAAATGTCACAATAATATCTTTTATAGAACCTATTTCGTGTATGAGATTGTAGATGCTAGCATGTCGATGCAAAACAGCTGTGTGGATTATACTTCTGTTTCTACTGTCCACTTCCCATATCAAACTAGGATAAGAGCTAATAAGCTCAGACAAAAATCCAACATTACCAACTTTTGCAGCATCAAATAATAGCTGAGAAGGATTGTTTATGATGTCAATTATCTTGCTCTTGGAGTCTATGTTGTCGAGAATCGTGTTCCAGAGAACATTAACCAATTGAAGAAATATGTCTTGTTTCATGCCTGCTTGAAGTGAAACACATGTAAAAGTAACCGGGGAATCTATGGGGTTCATGATAATAATATTATAAATAAAAAAATTCAAGTTCTATGTCTTAGTTTTCCTAATAAATGTTGAACGAAGGCTTTACCAGGGTTGGTCTTGACGGGAATATTTTGATGTTCTTGGCAATTGCAGCAAGAATCCAGACGCTTTTGATCTTTAGCTAAGAGATGCAAAGCAATGCCGTTATTCCCATCACGTGCGAAAGCTAGCTGTTTCCTATGGCTTACCATTTCTAAGGCTAAATCTACAAATCAATAGTTTTTCATTAATACAATAAAAATAGAATACAATCAAGTGCTTTATTTATAGGAATCAATACAAATTTAAATCAAAAGTGGAAATTCAAACAATGAATTCCAAGTGATTGATTGTAATTAAGAGGATTGATTCTCAAAAAATTTCACTATCATAAATTATAATGAGATATAACTGATGAGATGAAACTTTTAAAAGTATAGTCTTGAACTTCTAATATATAAGGAATCTTGTAATAAAAGTAGACACCACTCACTAAAATAAAAAATAAAATAAAAAAAAGGGTCATCACAGAAGAGCGACTTTTGTAATAAAAAAGTTTGTCATGTAATAAAATTTGAAATAATAAATATTTGTTTCATATATATATATAATAATTACCGCAAACCATATTAAATCTCTTTACTATTTTATATTTGTGTGTATCTATAACTTTTAATCTCTTCGGAGGAAATTGAAAGTGGTACACCACCCTATCTCAATCAAATTTTCTAAGTACACAAAAGTTTAGGTTTTACTCAACCCTAATCCTTAAACACAAAAGTCAAGATTAAATGTTAAGACGTGAGTAATTACATCTAAGTTTTGTAATTAAAAAAAATAATGCAACTCTCTATATATGTTGACGAGAGTCATTCAGTAACACTTACGATAGTTGCAAGTTTTGATGCAAGTGAAGAACAGCAATTCCCAGTCATCATCAACAAACGTATGTACAGTCAAAGGGTATAGTCTGCATGCCATAGGGCACCTTCCTTGCAAAGCAGCGAAGTGAAGAGGGGTCATTCCATTTCCACCCTTGAGTATTGGCAAGAATAGATTTCTTCTCAGCATCAACTCAGCAATGCGCCAGTTGCCAGATGCAGCCACAAAGCAGAAGGCAGTGTTGCCCTTTTCATCCTGCAATTCTATTGCATCATTGTCGAGTGTTTTGAGCAACTCCTCCACAAAGTGATAGTGGTTTGTGCCTGCAGCTACATGCAGCACTGTGGGCCACCCGTTTGCTATGGCTGCAGTCCTCAGTGCTGGCTTTGCTTCTAAGATGCGATTCGCTGCTTCCCAATTGCCTTGTAGTGTATGCTTGTAAAGTGGCACACATTCGGAAAAGAAAATATCCAATGCCTCCCCTGAAACCACCTCAACTTTGTCTTATCATATCTTGAGAGGAATTATTTCATGGTCAAATATTAAGGTATGTTTGGATAAATCTCTCTACAAATACTTTCAGGAAAGAAAAATAAGAAGAATGTTTCTTCATAAGTTAAACCAAACTCATGAGTCAAAAATACGATTTTAGATTAGCTGATAGAAAAGAGTATTTACAAATTAGTTTTTGTATATGAACTAATTTTAAGTTATGAAGAAATTTAGTTTATTTCCGGTTGCAGTTATAGATCGAATAATTTAAAACCATGTAATTGTTTAATTAACAAGATGAATATATAGTATGATCAAAAAATAATTTCAATGGAAGTGAAAGATAGAAAGTTGAGTAAAAGAGTACTTGTATCCTGTAGAAAATCAAGTGAAGGCCTTCTGCATTTAGCTGTTGCGACCCTTGTAAGCTGTGGATTTGCATTTGTTGGATCCCCATTATGTACTTCTGTGATTTGTGTAAATGTTGCTGCTGAGTCCTCAATAATGTCAATGATTGTGTCCTGTGGTTCTGGAGTTGCTGATTCCATATTCTGTGCAACCATATTCCCAAATTAAACCCTAGATCAATAAGTTTGCAAATGCTGTAAAAATTAGGTCTAGCTAGTTTGGTTAATGTTTTCTAAAGCAGCTTTTTATTTTCTAAAATTTGCCTGCCCTTGATGAGCACATTTTCTAAAACACTAGCTCTGTGAAATTGCCATAAAAAACGGTTTAAAAACAAAGCTGAGAAAGAAATTGAACTGACCAGTATCCACACGTGATAAACTAGTGCAATCTTAATTCATTAATCTATATTTTCACCAAAATTAAATAAATTATTTTGTGAGATGTTAATTGAGCAATTACGTTTAGCAAACTAGATAAAATGCGCACATACATAATTCGAGTACTGAAAACAGAAAACAAATTCAAAGTTTACATTTTAGAATATAAACACAAGTTTAAAATTTATAATTGATGAAAACACTGTTCACTACGACATAAATTTGTTTAGGAAGTGCATGTTTATTAATGGATATATAATGCAATTTGATATCGAGAAATATATATGAGGACTTTTATTAGCTACTAGGAAACTGAATGCTAATGTAACTGATTTTTTATTAGTGGTTCTACAATACATGATTTTGTAGACTAATTAGTGTCGGTTCAAAAGGGAGAGAGTAAATCCAAATTTTTTAGTTTAGTAGTTACAAGGCCTACTCTAGGTTGACCTGATACTCTTATATTTAATTATTTTTGTATTAAATAATTTTGTGTATAGAAGTTTATTGGAAAAAAAAAAAAAAAAAGCCCATACAATTTTTTTAAAACTATTGCATCCAAATTAATTAGGATTAATGAGCTTGATCCATACAAAATTTTATATTAATCCAAGATGATTTGATACTTCAATTTTATAAAACAAAATTAACATAATATATGTATTTCAAAATGTACTAAAATATGAACACTTTGATTACCTTCAAGTTATTGTTCAATTTTAACAAAATTTGATATACATATATAAAGTGATATAAACTTTCAATCTAACGGTTGGATTTACAAAATTCACAATTAATATAAAATTATTGAGCGGTATAATACTTAATAAAAGTTACATCGGTGTAATTATAACCCCTCTCATATATATATAT